AATTTTATTTCTGTTAACTAATTATTGGACAGCTATACATTAGAGAATATGGAAATAACTTTATACATTACATTTTGCTTTATTTTTAAGAAAACTTCTATCTTGGGGCTCCTGGGTGGCTTGGTCGGTTAAGCGTCCGACTTCGGCTCAGGTCATGATCTCACGGTCCGTGAGTTCAAGCCCCGCATCGGGCTCTGTGCTGACAGCTCAGAGCCTGGAGCCTGTTTCAGATTCTGTGTCTCCCTCTCTCTCTGCCCCTCCCCTGTTCATGCTCTGTCTCTCTCTGTCTCAAAAATAAATAAACGTTAAAGAAAAAAAAAAAGAAAAGAAAACTTCTATCTTATTGTCCATAAATTTCAGGGCTTATGAATATGTTATGTACATAATCACATCATTTCTAAAAGTAAGAATCATACTGAGTCATCTTTGCATTATACTGCAAAAGATTCGTAGTGACACTAATCCTTTGAATAATAGCATGAATAACTTTCTTTGTTAATCTAAGACTGTTAGAACCAATTCAGTCTCATTGCCACTGGCTTTGTCTTCCCAGCTCCCTGGGCAGATCGCCTAATGGGCTTCACCTTCACATCCACCTACCTTAGTTCTTGAACCAGTTATGGCCTAGCCATGGATATGTCAGCAGCCTCAGTCTCACCATCTCCTGGTGAGAACTAAGTTAATTGCTAACCCAGGTTTGATCATGTACAATGTGGGAGGATCTCTAAACAGCCATGTATCTCTCATCCAGTCATCCAGCCCACTTTCTATGAAATTGCAGTATAGTCCATGTTTGCTTACCTGGGCCCCTTTATATTAAAAAACAAAACAAAAAAAAAACTTTAATAAATAAAGAGAAGAGACAAATGTCCCATGGAAGGGAATTCCAAGTAATCTATTTAGATACTCCACCATCAAGGAGATGAAATATAAGTCCCCACTCCTTAAATGTAGTCTGTACATAGTGACTTTCTTCCAAAGTGTGCAGTATGAAAAGTGGAAAAAAGAGGAACTTTAGAGTGGAAAAACCTGACAAACACTGTCTTATCCGGGTAATCAAGGTCTATATCAATGATGTTAAATTATGTTGATAGGTATCCTTGATATGTCAGGAACATGGTACTCTATTTCTGTGGTCTTCCTCTCAAAAACCCATAGCCCTAGTCTAATTATGAGAAAGAACATCTGCAAATCCAAGTGAAAGAACATTCTACAAAATGTCTAGCCATTACTCCTCAAAACTCTCAAGGTCATCAAAAACAAGACAAGTCTGAGAAACTATCACAAACTAGGACTAAATCCAATGTGATATCCTGGATAGGATGGTGGAACTGAAAAGACATTAGGTGAAAACAAAGAAATTATTTTTTTTAAGTTTTTATTTATTTAAGTAATCTCTGCACCCAATGTGGTCCTCAAACTCATGACCCTGAGATCAAGAGTCACATGTTCTTCTGACTGAGTCAGGCAGATGCCGCAAAAACTAAGGAATTCTCAATAAAATAATGGACTTTAGCTAACACAGTCTATCAGTATTGGGTTCATTAATTATAACAAATAACCCCATTGTAAGGTGTCAATAATAGAGGAAATTTGGTATAGGGTATATGGGAACTCTCTATACTATCTTCAAATTTTCTGTAAATCTAAAACTTTTAAAATATAAATTTATTTAAAAAAACAATATGAGAAAAGATAATGTTTATTGAACCATTGCTTTGTGCCGGACACTGCCAAAAGCATTGTTTATATCACCTTACTGAATACTAAGAATGACCTTGTGAAATGAATACTGTTATACTCATTTTATAGATAAGGAAATTGAGACACAGGTTAAGTGGATAAGTACATTTCTTAAGGCCAAATCTACATAATTGAGGAGAAAGAACTCCAATCCAGACTGTCTAACTCTAGACTGTGTACTTCTTTTGGTCCTATTTATATAACTTATTAGCAGACATTGAGCACAAGAAAAATGTTCATTTAACATTTTTCCAAATCAGACAAGTAAGGAAGAATAAAGAGAAAATTCATGCCAGCCAAGAGACAAAATAAATGTACTTCTAAAGGAGACTGAAGAATTGAGGTTTGAAATAAAGACAGAAGATATTCAAGGACTTATGAATCTTACTGAAGCATTAAAGAAGAGATACTTGTATCCACAACTTTGACTCTTGAAACCTTTGCAGGTATTGTCCAACACAAAGGCTATCCTGGAGTTAAAATTACTGTCAAAAATTATTTAAAAAGTGGGGAAAATAATCTAAAGCACCTGAACATGAACATAACCGCTTGTTTACAGCCTCTCACTCCAGTTTCTCTTTCAGACTGGGTATCTCCCTAAACTCAAAACTTAGCTCTCTGAGCTAGGGCCCTATTGCATAGCTTAACTCATATTAATCTCCTTTTCTGGAGTCTAGGGAATGGGCAACAGGGAGCAATAAAATTCATGATCAGTACTCTCAACTGCCATTCAATGTGCACTTCAACTTGTAAGTTTTTATGTTATGTCCTTGCCGAAGTGTGATCTGCCCCAGGCAGTGACTCATTTCTGATGCCTTCCTCCATCTCTAGGACATTGGCCCTACCTAGGTTCTCCCTGACTTTAACACTCAATAATGTCATCTACAAAATGAGATCATGAAGGCAGCTCTTTCTGCCCACAGGTCCTGCCCTGTGCTTTAATAAAATCACCTTTTTACACCAAAAAAAAAAAAAAAAAAAAAAAAAATGATATGAAAATATGTATGTCACAGATTGATGTTAGGATTAACTGAGATAATATCTTTTTAAATTTTCCAGATAATCTCTGTGATCTAATGTCATGAAACTGGCAGTTGAGTGTATCACTGAAAAAACTGATGAAAACTTAAAACACTGAATTTTTCACTTAAAAACATGTTAATATACTTTTACTTACCAGACTTTTGGTGTAAGCACAAGGCCATTTGTTGTTTTGGTCTTTGCACACAGCTTTGTATAGGGTAACTCTTTGGAGTTCTGTCTAAATTTTTTTACATCAAGCATACCTCTAAGGCAGTCTACAGTGACCAGCTTTGTTTCCCTTAAACAACCAATTTCCATTTTTAAAAAATAGGAGAGTTAAGATGATGTTCTCACCTTTTCCCTTCAGAATCACACAAAAGCAACAAATAAAAACCAAAACACAACTTCTTTGACAAAATCAGAAAGCATGCTAAATCTCAAATCATGTGTTTTATGAAGCACAATGAAGGTAAAGAGGGATGGAGAAAGATACCAAAAGAAAATTCCCAGGGTTACAGATCACTGACAAAACCAACAACACAGTTCTCTAGACTGGAATATTCTGAGGAGCAAAATCAACAGTTCCTAGTTTGGGACAAATGCAATTGATGACCATGGTTGTGCTTCCCAATTTGGCATAAGAGAGAAACAGAGAATACTGGAGAACCCAAGGAATCACACTGAAAAACTATATTTATAGGAAGCAGTATGCTGGTGAGGCAGGATCAGAAAAAAATGATGAGTTCTGACTTGTCCCGTAACTGCTGATCTCAGATGGCTGGAGAGAAGACTAACTAAAGGCTGTAATTCAAACACACACACAATTTTGTGAGATGAGTTTTCCTGGCTTGAATCGCAGGCCTGGATCCAGTCCAATATACACTACTGCAGAAGTTTGGTTTAGGGGTACTCATTTAATTCAAAGATGGGCAAGATTTTTAAAAGTGGTGGGGAAGTAAAAATAAGATAAAAACAGAGAAGGAGACAAACCATAAGAGGCTCTTGAATACAGAGAATAAACTGAGAGTTGCAGTGAGGGGGTAAGTTAAATGGGTGACGGGCATTAAGGAGGGCCCTTTTTGGGATGAGCCCTGGGTGCCATATGAAAGAGATGAATCACTGTTCTACTCCTGAAAGCCAAGACTACACTGTATGTTAACTAACCTGAGAATGAAAAAATAAAAAATAACAAAAATTTTTTTGAAAATAAAAGGGTTGGGGAAGGAGGTATAATCTGCTTGGGTTCTGTACTAAAGGGAAAATCTTTTCTGGAAAGCTGCACTAGAAACTGAGACAAAACCTTGCTTTTCACCATTAACCTTTTTATACTTTTTAAATTCAAAAGAAATTTAGTTCAGTAAGAAAAAGAATAGGGACTTTGAAAAAATAATAAATTCAGGTAGACATTTGCAGAGAAAATCTAAATACAAATCCTTTCAGATATTTTACTCTTTTTATCCAGACATACGTTTGTTTTGACCACATGTAATTTGACAGCAATTTCTTCTAGTGACTTTCCTTTATCAATCCTTTCACAAAGGCATCCAATTTATAGAAACAACTTTTCCTTTTGCATTAATATTTCATTAATTATGTAATATTTACTTATATCATTACAATACTGTAACTGGCATAACAAGTTTAGAAACAAATACAATTGACTCAGTAAACAAAGTTCAACTGGTGTGAACAGAAGCATATATGTTCTAAAAAGCGGCCTGCTAACCACAAGGGTTCATTGTATTATAGGTATCCTATGTTTTTGAGGAAAACCAGAAAGTAATGCTTGTTGATGGATTTGTTATGTGCATGTTAGAGGAAATTACCCTAAATATGAACATATGTCCTTACTGGGTTTTTGTGGCCTTTGAATTATTCTCTAGGATATATAGTTTTAGATATATCATTTAAAATTTTTAATTTTACTCAAAAAAAATGTTTATTGAGCTCCTACTATGTACCCTAAACATAGAAACAAGGTAAATATTTCATCAACTTGTTGAAATTAAACAATATTAATAGGATGTTACTGCTGTTTTTATTTACAGTATGCTGAATAGGTGTAGAAGATATTAATGAAAGAACTTTATTGACTTGCTTCATTCATATCCTTAGAGTTCTTCACACACCCAAATTTGTTTTAAATTGTTAATGTTGGTTTTACTTTAATGTTTGATAAGGAAAAACTTTTTTTTTTTAACTGTTGTTACATTTCTTGTTGTTTTATCTTGAAGCTGCCAGAAAAAGTTATAATGGACTACTACGAGAAGTACAAGCCTAGAATGAATGAGCTGGAAGCTTTTAATATGGTAAATCTCAGAAATGAACATATTAAATTGGATATGTTGCCAGACTTGAATGGGGTTCAATTAAATTTTATTGTGGGACCAACCAATCTATGTTGTTTTTCTCTTACTGTAGAAAAACCGTTTTGGACCATTTCCTATTTCAGAACTATATTAGGTGTCAGTAATGTAATAAAGAGAACACATGGTAGATTTCTCTTAAAATGTATCATAAATGCACAGAAGAAATTTCAGAGTTCTTTGAACACATACTTGTCTCAATGCAGTTATTTCCCCAGCATGCGTTTTAATGAATTTCATTCTTAGTACCTCTGAAAACTCTCTATCATACGTACCACTGCCTTTGGATTCCTGTTATTATTAAAGAAAAACTTTTGATCTCTGCAGTATTCGTTTTCTGAATATATACAATTGGTATTGGAGATTTGGCCCTATATAAATTTCTGTAGATGCATTTTCTTGAACATAAGTGTTAAGCTAGTTTGTGTTTGTTTGTTTGTTTTGTTTTGTTTTTTAAAGTTCTACCATCCTATCTTATCCTTTCTTTTAGTTGAAAGTTGTTCTGGCTCCTTGTATAGAGACACTGATTCTTCTGGATCGACTTTGCTATCTGAAAGAGCAGGTAAATTATATTTTAAAATATATAACTAATATCTTTATTTAATATAGTAAACAGATCCACTATTACCTAGGATAAGTTTCTTTTGCATACAGCTAGTCAGATAATTTTTCCTATTATATTTTCCAAGTTTAAATATTCATTCCATCTCTTTTTAAACGTAAACATATGTACAACAGATGTTTTCAGCAAACCTATTATAATAAAGTTTATGTTCTTTTAATTGTATGGTAATTACTGTATGGTAGGCAGTGAACACAACTATCATATATGACGTATTGTGTAGCCAAATTTAATAAAGGCCAGACATAAAAGATATTATATATATATATATATGTTTCATTTAATGAAAATTTACCTTTTAAATCACTTTTGGATTTTGGACGTATGTAATCTGCAGTATAAAAATTTCTTTCTGATCAGTGAAAATTGCTTTTGCTTCTTCACAGTCTTGGTTTTTTTTAATCTATGTTGAATGCACAAAAAAAACTGGTTTTTTGCTTGTCTTTAAGGAAAAATTTTTTTTGCAGATTTTACACTGAGCTATGATCAAAATAGTTATGTGAACTGTTTAAATTAAACCCATACATGGATTCAGCCTCATGTTTCCACCATAAGCCCTTTATTTTAACAATTTTGTTCTATCATAGTGGGTAATTTTACTTTCTTCTTTTCAACAGGCTATTTGGAACAAATGGATTTTAATAAATGCTTGCTTTTGTTCTAATCTATATTTTTATGGAAAAAAAGACAATTTTTAAATATTTGGATAATTGTGTACTTTCTTAAGCTACCAAGTAACTCAAAATCACTGGAAATCTTTGGTTTCCAATTTCATAGGTGACAGAATTGGGCCTGTTTTACTAGGTACTCATTATTTACCTTTTCAAAGCAATTTCCATTGACCTAAATAAAATAAGTAAATGGTAAAAAAATAAATTAAATAAAATAAGTAATATGCACAAAGATTAATAGATTGGCAGTGAAATGATATAAAGCATAAAATATTAACTTGTTAATAAAATATTTTTAAATAGCAATGTTAAATAATAATAATTTTTAAATAGCAATGTTAAATAATAGCAATGTTAAATAATATTAAATAATATTTTATTCTAAAATAACACTTATATGTTAGAAAGTTTTAAATGAAGAATATAAACAAGAAAATTAAAAATAACAACAGTCCCATCTTTCAGCATTAACTTAATTTTTGTTTTGTATTCTAGTGCCTCTTTCTAATATGTATATGTTGCACACACATATATATGAGCACATTATTTCTACTTTAATTAAAATTGGAATCTGGGGCACCTGGGTGACTCAGTCAGTCAAGCTGTCTGACTCTTGATTTCAGCTCAGGTCATGATCTTGGCTCAGGTCATGGTCTCACAGTCCAGAGACAGAGCCCTCAAGATTCTCTCTCCCTCTCCTTTCACCCCTCCCTGCTCTCTAACATAAGATAAGATGATGATAAGATAAGATAAAGGAATCGAATTACAAGTGCAGTTTTGAATCTAATCTGTTTCATTTATTTTATTCAGAATTTTCTCATCTTATTGAATATACTACAGAAGGTGAATAATGTTTCATCATATAATAATTTCTTTAAGTAATGCCCAATTGTTTTTTATCACTTCCACTCTTTCACAATTTCAGCAAAGAATAACCCTGTAGTTCACTATCTTATGTAAATCTTTTATTTCCTCAACATAAATTCCTGTAGGTGAAATTGTAAACGTTAATTTCATTCAGCAAAGAATAATTTTCTTTTATATAGTTTGTCTTTTATGTTGTTTTTATATTACAATATATAGTCTGACTCATCTTTCATTCTTATCTTCAACAAATTGCTATGTATTTAAATCACTTATCAATTTGCAGGAAAATATTGCATGGTCTGCACTTGTGAAGTTGTTTGATCCTGTGAAATCTCCCAGATGTTATGCTATTATTGCTCTGAAGAAGCAGCAATGATTTCAGTTGAAGCAAGGTATTAGATGTATCTGTTTGTGGAAACTATCACTAATTTTGCTCTTCTAAACATTTATGTTGTGTTATGTAAATATTTGAAAAAACATTGCTCTATATTTTAAATAAACAATAAAATAATAGCTAACAACAGAACACCATAATCTATTTTTCCATTGTCAAAGCATACATTAATAAAATAAGAACTCATGAAAATATTTAAAGTATTGACCTACATTCCTGAGTTACTATATCAATAGGACATTGTAATCTGACCCTTGTTTCCTATTGTTTGAGACCCTTAATATTTGCTACATACCACATTTTGACTTTTATTGATTTAAAAACTTTTTGGACAGAGGAAAGTTATAGGTGTATATATAATAAAATTAGCACAGAAGATCACTTTCATTTTCCTCCAGATTTTGGAAGGATTTTCCATGTCATCTGGAGGGAAAAATCCAAAAAGGAAAGAAACACCCAGGAACCAGGCATATACAAAAAGTGCTTAATATGTGTTTTCATCTAAGTTACATGAGAAGATATTCTGTGTCCTTAAAGAAATATGCATCTTGTGAGCTTCACTTTAAGGAATCTTGAAGCTACTTATCTTACTAAAATAGATAATTACCTTGTGCTCTGTAGAAAGCCAGTCTGAGAAAAGCAAGAGAGAATGAAAGAAGGCCAGTGCTATGCCCAGTGTGGTACAGGTTCTTTTCATTTGCAGAAATCTTGAGATTTCTAATATACACAGAAGATACGACAGTTGGCAAAAAGCTTCCTTGATGCTCAGCAAAAGACTATAAAATTCTCCCATCAGAAGAAGTAACTACTCTCTTAAATTTTAGAGTCTATCCGCAGATGGAAAGAATAAGTTTTTGCTCTGTGTTGTGATAGGAAGTTTGCAGCCATTATATATGTGGATGATCAGGTACTTTGTATAGCTAGTACAATATTGGGGAAAATAGCCACTTTTTAAGCTTTTTATTATGGAACATTTCAAATATGTTCAGAAATGAAGAGTAGAGTCTAACGAATCGCATGTGCTCATCACAAACTTCAATAATTATCAACATTTTACCAGTCTTGTTTCATCTGTACACTTACGAGCATGCACACGTTCACATTTGCCACCCCACCCACCGTTCCCAGATATGTAAGATTTTGAACTTTTGCCCTGATGCCTAAATATTTATATAACATTATTTTCTCGTTATAATAAAGAAAAAAAACTTCATGTGTGTAAAGCTCTGTTTAGTAAAGTGAACTCCAACTGTTTCAATACCAAGGAAACTTTGTAGTAACTTCCCTATGCCTTAAAACATTGTCAGAAATTATATTTATCAGTTAATACTTTCCATTTTTAATAGAGACATTTGTGTGATTCAAGCTAATCAACATGAGATAACTTGTATGACCCACTGAGATGATAATATTTCATCACGATCTCGCGGTCCGTGAGTTCGAGCCCCGCGTCAGGCTCTGGGCTGATGGCTCAGAGCCTGGAGCCTGTTTCTGATTCTGTGTCTCCCTCTCTCTCTGCCCCTCCCCCATTCATGCTCTCTCTCTCTCTGTCCCAAAAATAAATAAACGTTGAGATGATAATATTTCAGCAAAAGAACAAAGAAATATAATATTTTGGCAGGACTACAGCTTTATACACATGAATCCCCATTGCAATGTTTGTAGACTCTCCTCTCATAAAAACTGCTCTTTGAGAACTCATTTACAGTTGAGCTAAAGAATGTGATGTATTGGCAGGAGCATCAATCCTGACAGTTACATTCTGAGTGAGCTAAAGCAAGACTCTTAATATCTCAGAGCCTCATTTGTAAAGTGGGTTTCATTTAATTTTCATTTTAGAAACATTTATTGAATGCTTATCATGTGTCAGACATTAGGCTAGGCACTGGCAGCATGGAGACAAACAAGATATGTCCCTTTTCTCAAAGAGCTCACAGTCTAGTAAGAAAGACAACAAAATTACTAATTACCATAATTAGTACTGTAATTATTGTATAGGGCTGAGAGGGCCAGGACATGAGATCCTTTATGACACCTTCAAATTGATAAGACTTCAAGGGAAGATAGGCTCAGTAATATTAGTACCATAGTTTAGATTCATATGAGTTAAATTATTGTCTGTCCTTGTGTAGGTCACTTTAGTATTCAGTATGCCTCAGGTTTCTCATCTGTAAAAAGAATATAAGAATAAAATTTACTTATAAAGTTGTTATGAGCATTAAAAGATTAAATATGTTATTGAACTCCCACAAAATGTCTCCAGGCAATCTGTTAATAAAGCAAAACTGAATTTATTAAAACTGTCTGTAGTAATAGGGGATTCTGCCTTGAGGGTCTCTGAAGGTAAAGTCAGGAGAGGATATTTACAGCATTTTGAAGGTGGCTGTTTTCAGGTGGAGACCAGACTGCAATTTGGAAAAGTTCATGACAAGTTTTATGATTGGTATCTAATAGCAAGGCAAGGGTCTTGAAGCAAGTTCTGATAAGTAAACTGTTGTTTGATAAGTGAGCTCTTTGCCAAGGTGAGCAGATTGTCTGAGATAAATTAATATATGAGAATTTCCTGAAACAATGAAGTTATTTATTGGTTTACAGCCTTATCTTTCCTGGGCAAAGATTTCCTTTACCAAACAAATAAATCATGTTGACACAGGTGGTCTCAGTTCTTAGACCCCATAGCTCTGTCATATTAATGCACATGGTTGTAGTTCTCAACGTAAAGCAATTAATTCCTGGTACATAAACATATGTAAAGCAAATAGTATAGGATAGTAGACTCAAACCTAGATATGTCAGTACTTCCATTAAATGTACATTAAATGCTTCAATTATAAAACAAAGATGACTAATTGGAAAAATAGAGCCCAATAAGTTGCTGGTTAGAAAAAACATCTAAAACAGGGGTATAAAAAATTCAAAAGTAATAGGAAGGAAAAGGCATATTTGCAATTACTCATCAAAAGGAAGGATATTTATCAATATCAAAGTAGATTTTTAGTTAATCTCAGGCAAAAATATTCTGGAAGATAAAGGGTAACCTTCATAATGAAAAGAATTTCAATTTGCCAGGAAAATGTAAGTTTGTATTTAGTTAATACCATAATTACAAAATATATAAGGCAAAAATTAACTACAGGGAGAAACAAGTCTACAATCATGCTGGGAATATTTTCATGTTTCCCTCTATCTTATGGAAAAAGCAAACAAAACCAAAAAGATACAAGATTTGAACAATGAAAGAAGTAAAATTGAGCTAATGGATAAACAGTTTATTATAAACTGTTCCCAACTACTATATGATTTTTTCAAGTACGTATGAAAATTTTACAAAAGTTGACCATATGCTGGGCTTTGAAGTAAATTTTAATAAATTTCAAAAAAATTGAAACTATATTATATGTAGTTTCTGACCACAATGCATTTAAGCTTAAAAAATTGTTTTAGGGGTGCCTGGGTGGCTCAGTTCAGCATCTGACTCTTGATCTCAGCTTAGGTCTTGATCTCAGGGTTGTGA